TACTTATGTTTTGTATGTTAGACTGTGTGTCCTCTGAAAATCGTGTAGGTTTTAGTAACCTCTTGTGCCACAAGCAGTCTTTGTTAAATAACATGTATGTTTGTTGAATATATCCAAGATACTATGTGTAGCAAAAAAGCATTTTCATATTTTATTCTAATCCTTTAAGATACAACAAAACATGCTCTTTTTTTTTTAAACCAGGTATAAAAGTGATCCTTACTTACTGATAACTAGACTTTGAGTTGAGACTAAAAAGGTTGGTTGGTTTGACAGGATGTAATAGACATGTGGGATTATCCAGTAGGCTATTCAGCATTCTTTGATACATTCTAGGTGCAGGACATTTGTTCATTGAAACTGTTTTTAAAAATTTAAGTCATTTTATTGGGGGCTCGTACAACTCTTATCACAATCCTCATATCCACCCATTGTGTCAAGCACATGTGTACAATTGTTTCCCTCATAATTTTCAAAACATTTGCTTTCTACTTGAGCCCTTGGTATCAGCTCCTCATTTTTCCCCCTCTCTCCCTGCTCCCCCCTCCCTCATGACCCCTTGATAATTTATAAATTATTATTATTTTGTCATATATTACACTGTCCAAGGTTTCTCTTCACCCACTTTTCTGTTGTCCATCCCCTAGGGAGTAGGTTATATGTAGATCCTTGTAATCGGTTCCCCCTTTCTACTCCACCCTTCCTCCACCCTCCTGGTATCACCACACTCACCACTGGTCCTAAAGGGATGCTCTATCCTGGATTCCCTGTGTTTCCAGTTCCTATCTGTACCAGTGTACATCCTCTGGTCTAGCCAGATTTGTAAGGTAGAATTGGGATCATGATAGTGGAGTTGGGGGGGTGGGAGCATTTAAGAACTAGAGGAAAGTGGAATTTTTCATCGTTGCTACACTGTACCCTGACTGGCTCCTCTCCTCCTTCTGTAAGGGGATGTCCAATTGCTTACAGATGGGTCTTGGGTCCCCAATCTGCACTCCCCCTCATTCATAATGATTTGATTTTTTTGTTCTTTGATGACTAATACCTGACCCTTTGACACCTTGTGATCACACAGGCTGGTGTGCTTCTTCCATGTGGGCTTTGTTGATTCTGAGCTAGATGGCTGCTTGTTTACCTTCAAGCCTTAAAGACCCCAGACGCTATATCTTTTGATAGCCGGACACCATCAGCTTTCTTCACCACATTTGCTTATGCACCCATTTGTCTTCAGAGATCATATCAGGAAGGTGAGCATCATGGAATGCCAGTTTAATAGAACAAAGTAGGCCCAATATCCATCTGCGACCTTAATACTAAACTTATAAATATATGCACATATATCTATTTCCCCATCCTTATATATAAATATGTTTACATATGTACCTGCCTTTATTTATACCTTTATAAATTCCCTTTGCCTCCTAGTTCTTTCCTCTATTTCCTTTTACTTTCCTCTTGTCCCACTATCATGTTCAGCCTTCATTTGGGTTTCAGTAATTCCTCTCCATTACTTTACCCTACCAGGCTCCTACACCTTCTTCACCACTGATTTTGGGTCACTTGTTGTTCCCTTGCCCCTGGGTTTGTTAACACCACTTCCTTTCCCCCACCTCCCCCTCTCCCATGTCGTCCGAAACTGTGGGTCCCTTTATTTTCTCCTCCAGATTGTTTATCCAACTTATCTATCTAGATAAACCTGTGGAAGTAATACCATGCACAAAACCAAGACAGAGCAAAGCAAAGCAACAAAAGAAAACAAAACAACAACATAGTTTAAGGACTGTTTTTTGGCCTTTAGGAGTGTTTTCCGGTTGAGTCTGATGGGGTGCCACACCCTGGTCCCCAAGTCTAATTTTGGTATTCCCTTGGGACTTCCTTGTTCTGCTCCCCTTGCTGTTCCGTTGCACTCCCTTAGTGTTTTGCCTCCATGTGGTGGGATCAGATTGGGCGCAATTCCTACACTGTGTCTCCAGTGTTGTCCTCTGTAGGGCTGTGGGTCAGTGAGGGATGTCGTGACTCATAGTGGGGCTGGCCATATGGTCTTCTCTGTGTTTTGGCTGCTCTCAGAGGGAATATTGTCCTCAAGACTTGGTGGGCCAGGATGTACTCCACTCTCTCTTCCTCCCCCAGTGTCAGATTTTTTTCTGTCAGAGTATCACATAGTTAAAATTAAAATTCCAAGTTGGTTCTCACACTGGTTCTTTGGTGGTATGGGGGTTGGTATAAAAGCAACTTTTTTTCCTGCTCATTATTTTTAACAGGAGCTGCCAACCTCAATTCCCAGGGTCCCAACAGAGTCATGAGCTCACCATGGCAAAGAATGTTTAATTACAGCTACAGAAAGAGGCGTATGTAGAAAACAAACAATAATTTGTAAGCATTCATGATTTAGCTGCTATACATATAATTACCAAGGAAAATATGACTTCAGACAGTTATCGTATCAGTGTCAATCTTATGAAAAATAAGACATGGATTATAAGGCAACTTTTCCTTTTTTCCTTTTTCTCTTTTTCTGTTTACCCTACTTACTCCTTTACTTTGCCCCTTTAATTTAATAATTCCATGGAGCTAAATTAATATTTTACTAAACTAGAAACCAGCCGACATAGTCTATTTGAAGAATACTCTCTTTACAATGCTTCCTAGATTTTGATGTAGAAAAGTTAGGCTCTAGTGTATATTTTTAATGAGCCTTCCATGATACTCCTATATATTCATGTATTCACTTAATTTTTTTAATGATTACAGTTAGGACAGCAATGATTATTCCCATTATATAGGTAGGGCAACTGAGACTCTGATGTAAAATAACTTGCTCAGGAACAAATGACAATTGTGATTCAAAATTAGGTCTTGTGATTTCAGATCTAGAACTAGGTGTGCTACAACCTCTCAATTATCTAGCCCAGGACAGAAGCACAAGGTGCTTGCAGTGAGGTAAGCTACTGTACTCTGCTCCAAGATATCTAGCATGCTGGAGTGGAGGAAAGACAAATAGATGAATCCTTCCTTTGAGTTTGCCACCACTTTGGGCCAAGGCCTCTAACATGCCCGAAGTAAATAAAGAAGGGAGTGAAAGCTCACATAGTTTAACTTCCATATTATGTTGATAAGAACATTTAGGCTGATAAATTAAATAAATTGAATTCAATGCATTCATAAATTAATGCATAGTTATGAATCAGAAAGATTAATTTCTGATACTGTTTAATCACCAGCTTCCTTATTCTCAACTTTTCTCGACATCTCTTTTGCTTCACATGATTCAGTTGAAAAAGACATGCGTTACAGGCATCACGCGCCATGTTTCTGTGTGGATGTGATTGTGTCATAGGTACAAAAAATACATAAGTATATGACTTAGGGGCAGAGCGATTCCCAAAGAATTAAATACAGCAAATTCTTAATAACAAATCGCTTTTAGAACTAAACCTCAAGAAATGTGTTTAGTTGAACATAAAGTACTTAGTATATTATCTCTTTCCACTCTCTCCCCTCCTGACCAATTGCAGTAATATCGGTTGGATAAATAGATTGAGGAATGAAGTGGACTCACATAAATTCAACAAGGACAGTATATTGCTCCTTTCAGCAATTATATGGCTCCCATCTTTGCTCAATTTTAACATCATAGTTTTTCTATTTTCTGCTCAGTTTTAGAAAATAATTAGATCTATACATGCACTCTATGGAGCCCTGGTGCAGTGGTTAAGCATTGGGCTTTGATCTGCATGATGGCAGGTCAAAACCACCACAGCTCTGCAGGAGAAAGACCGGGCTCTCTCCTCCCCTAAATAGTTACAGTCTTGGCATCCCACAAGGGGTCACTATGTGTCAGTATTGACTCCACGGCAGAGAGTGCTGAGAGGAATGCAGTGGAATCATCTCATTACTCCCTCCATACTATCGTAGATGCCAAGGTATTGGTGATGCTGCAGAAATGGTATTGTTGCTTGCAGGCAGCAACACAATGTGAAAGAAAGCTTCAAATCTTCATTGTATGCAAATCCCTCTGTGGTATACAAGAGTCAGTTTGGTGGTGCCTGTTTGTTGGGTATTTATGAAACTTATGACCACTTCTAGTGTAGAATATCTAGAGAAATAATTGTGACCTGTTTCTTTTTTTTCTTCTTATTTTTACTGGAAATATGTCTTTTGTAGGACTGGGGGTCCTCTCTGGTGGTGTGTTTAGTGAAGATGAAATCTATATTTTTATGTATCACATAGTGAAATTTCATGGCGATGGGGGTCTGAATTTGTCTGTGGTTCCTCAACCCATCAGAGTTTTTTGTGTGTGGCTGTTAATATACAAGGCAAAATAATCACCAATTCAATAGTTTCTGCAGGTATAATTCAATGGCATTGATTACATTCTTAGAATTCTGCAAACAGCAGCCATTCAAGGCACAGTGTTTGCTCTCCTGGAACAAAAGAAGAAGAAGGAAAACAGGAATAGGAGGGGATATGGACTTTTCTGCCATGAGACCAGAAGAACTGGATAGAGTTCAGTGACCATCAAAATGGGGAAAGATGGACCAGAATTAAAAAAAAACACCCATCGACGGTATTTTGTGACATCAAATAGGAATACAACTTATGCAGGAACTGGTTATAACTGCTAGAAGCTTAGGAATCTCAGTGGCATTTGGCTTAAACAATAATTCTGGAATTGTACCATAAACTTGGTGGCATCTTGTAGTCGGACACCAGATGCCTGAGGGAGAGAAATGATTCCCTTTTCAGCATGCCTCTCATTTTCCCCTTCATAATTAGCTTTTATTTATTTATTTTGGTTTACTGCTTCAAAGGATTATGGCATTAGAATGGGTAAAAAAATGAAGATGTACCATTGAAATGCCCTCCTCTCCAAATACGTATTTCAATATCGAAACTGTTATTTGTGCATTGACTTAGAGAATCTTTTTGACAATTTTCAAGTGTGTTTTTTATAAACAAAGTAAAAATTGGAATAAGCATTCTATTTTTTGTTGTTGCAGAACCCCAGCTGAAAGGAATTGTGACAAGGTTATTCAGCCAGCAGGGATATTTCCTGCAGATGCACCCAGATGGTACCATTGACGGGACCAAGGACGAAAACAGTGACTACAGTAAGGAACATTAGCCTTCTGCAAACTAATGTTAAATCCAATGTATGACCCAGTGTATCTTAGATTTAAAACAGAGCTGAACTGCCTTTTGGACTATTTATCTACTTGTGTCTTTCCCTTTATTCCTCTTTCTGTCATTCTTACAGCATATAGATGAGGCAGAAGAGAAATTCTATATTACATGAAAAGGTAGTTGGTCTCTGGGCAAGACTATCCTGCCATATATATATATGTATATTATATATATAATAT